TAAGATTTGAACTGAGTCTTGAAAGAAGCCTGAGAAGCTAGAAGGAGTGTTAAAGACAGAGATCATTCATGGCAATCAGGACAGCCAGCGTAAAGACAAAAAGGTGGGACATGTGGTGTCTTATGGGAGAAGAAACAGGTAGGCAAGTGTAGCTAAATCACAGTTTATTAGAGTGAAGTATAAGAACACTGTAAAGGTAGGAAGAGGCCAGGTTGTAAAAGACTTTAAATATCAAAGAGAGAAGTTTATATTTGATTCTGTATGTAATAGAGAATCAATGGAGTTTACTGATTAGGGGAGGTCACATTATCAAAGCTGCACTTTAGGAAGATTACTCTGACTGCTGAGTGGAAAATGAACTGGAATGGGGAGACATGTGAAGCAGGGAAACCAACCAGAAGGCTACAGCAATAATCTAGGTATGACATGATGAGGGCCTCCACCAGGGCAGCAGCTGTATTACTGGAGAGAAGGGAACATATATGAGAGATGCTGAGAAGGGAGAAACAACAAAATCTGGCAACAAACTGGCTATATGGAATGAAAACAAGGATTCATAGATGACACTGAGGTTGTGAGCCTACAGGCCTGGAAAGGTGATGGTACCCTCAACAATAAGAAATTTTGGAAGGGGCTACACATGTTATATTTAAGATGCCTATAGGACATATAATTTTTTTCTTTTTTAGGCAACTGGGGTTAAGTGACTTGCCCAGGGTCACACAGCTAGTAAACGTCAAGTGTTTGGTCTGAGGCCGGATATGAACTCGGGTCCTCCTCACTTCAGGGCTGGTGCTCTATCCACTGCGCCACCTAGCTGCCCCAAGGACATATACTTTAAGACATCTAAAAGTCAATTGGTAATTTTGACTATCAATCAGGAGAGAAATGAGGGCTAGATATATAGATCTGAAAATCATCTGCACAGAGATGATGGTTGAACCCACTGCAACTGATGAGATCATTAACCAAGATAATATGAAGGGAAATGAAAAGAAGGGGGGGAACCACAGTGGTACAGCTAGGTGGTGTAGTAGATAGAGCACTGGCCCTGGAATCAGGAGGACCTGAGTTCAAATCTGGCCTCAGACACATGATACTCACTAGCTGTGTGACTCCAGGAACATCACTTAACCCCAATTGCCTCACCAAAAAAAAAAAAATTTTAATTGTTTAAAAAAAAAAGAAGGCACGGGACAAAGCCAATAGGGATACCATGGCCAGTGGATATGATTTAGATGAGGATACAGCAAGTAAGACTGAGAAGCAGTAAGGCAGGTGAGAAAAGAACCAGGAGAAAGTAATGCCATGAAAATGTGGGAGGGAGTATCCAAAAGGAAATGGTGATCAACAAAGTCAAAGGTTACAGAGAGGTCAAGAAGGATGAAGACTGGGAAAAAAAGCTATTATATTTAACAATTAAGAAATCATTAGAAACTTTGCAGTTTCAAATGTGTGAAGTTGGAAGCCAGACTGCAAAGGTTTTAGAAGACTGAGAAAAGAGGAAATGAAGGCACTGATTGTAGACTGCTTTCTCGAGTGTAGCCATGATGACATACTCAGAGATACACATGACAACATTTACAGGAGAGATTTTAGGGCAATAGCTAGCAGAAATGGTCAGATCAAGTGAGGGTTTTTATGGACGGTGTAGATACGGACATGCTTACAGAAAGCAGAAAAGGAGCTAGTCAATACTGAGAGATGGAAAATTAGAGAGAGCAGGGATGATAGTAGGGGCAGTTTGATGGAGAAGTCAGGATGGAATGAGATCAAGGACACATATAGAAGGGTTTGTCCTGATAAGGAGAAAGGCTACCTGTTCATCAGAGAATGCAGTAAAAAAGGAGATAGTGAAGGGAGATGTTTGAGTAATATAAGATGAAGGAGGGAGAAGGGGAAGCTCTAGATGAATGGTCTAATTATTTTGGTAAAGAATGAGGTCACCTGAGAGCATTGGAGAAGAGGTATTAGGGAAGGCTGGAGGAGAGATGAAAAGGCTTAGAATTATTGTTGCAGGTGGGTAGCAAGGTAGCGCATGGACAGAGCTCCCGGCCTTGGAGTCAGGAGGACCTGAGTTCAAATCCAGTCTCAGATACTTGACACTTATAAGCTGTGTGACCATGGGCAAGTCACTTAACCCTGATTGCCTCACCAAAAAAAAAAAACATACATATATATATAGTTGCAAAGAGTAGAAACAGCAAGAGATTAACAAGGTGTAAAAGAACTGCTTTACTGCACTGAAGGCCGAATTGGAATTATGTAATATACATTTGTAGAGGACCAGATTAGCAAAGTTTTGTGATTTTCTCCAACTCTATTCAGCAGCACTGTGAATAGATACAAAGGAGGCAGATGGTGGGAGTAATTCTTGGTCTGAGTTTAGCAAGGCATGATCAATGAAAAGAAAAGAAAGGAAGGGATTTGAGTGTAGATGATAATGTAGAGTTGAGCTAATTCACCAAGAGGTGGAGGTAGACAAGGGAGCTGAATGTAGTCATGCAGGGGTGAGGCTTTGCACATTCTCACTGCTTAAAAATGTTGACTCGATGAATGAGTAACCATCCAAAAGAGTTTAATTATTTCAGTACCCAAAGGATCTTACTATAAACTTTTCATTTTTATGGTGTCCTCTCAATACATCAATCAAGTCTACATTTTTATCAGGGTAACAAAGCAGTGGTGGCAAAATTAAAAGATGATGTAAATAATGGATCGAGCAAGAAAAAAATATATAATGCTAAAGTTAAGCAAACAGGAGAAGTGACAGGTGTCATCATCATGAATTTTGGTTACTTTTACTTCTTTATGTGAATCACTCAGTTCCTGCTACAAAATAAAAGTATCCATGAACAAGATATTCCATTTCTCTGTTTCCAGCATTTTCTCTAGGTGTTTCCCATGCCTGGAATGCTCTCCTTCCTCATGTCCCTCTTGTGGCTTCCTTAGCTTCCTTCAAGTCCCAATTAAAATACCATCATCTTCAGGAAGGCTTTCTTAACTCTAGTGCCTTCCCTCTATTATTTCCTATTTATCCTGTATATAGCTGGCTTGTACATATAAGTTTGATTTTTGTCTCCCCCATTAGATTGTGAGCTCTATGAGACCTGGGGCTGTCTTCTGCCTCTTTTTTGTAACCCCACTGCTTAGCACAGAGCCTGGCACATAGCAAGCACTTTAAAAGTGTTTACTGACTGCCTGATTTTGTCTCCCCCACCAAAAAATGATCATTGTAAAGTAAGATCTCAACATGGATAACCTGGCAGTAGCAAACAAGAGTCCTGCTTAAATCCATGGAAGCCACAGCCACCCACATTCAATCAAACACTACATCTTCTAAATTCTACTTCTACAACAACCTTCATATCCCAACTTTCTCTCCACCCATCCCACACTAAAAAATCTAATTCAGCCCCTCATAATCTTTTTGCCTGGCTTACAGCAACAGTCAATAAACTGCTATGCCTGCATTCAACCTCTCCAATCCATCACAACTATCAAAATGATATTTCTGAAGCAAGATATTGACCATGTCAGTCTTCTATGGAGAAAGATATAGTGGCTCTGTTTTGACTCTAGGAAAAAATACAAACTCCTCCAGCATTTAAAACTCTTTACAACATGACTCCAACCTGTCTTGCCAGGTTGATAATGTATCATTCCCCCTTACACTCTTGTCCCAGCTAAAGTGATTTATTTGATGGTCCCCAACCACATAGCTCCACCAATAAGGCATAATGAAGAGAGGCCTGTGTCTGGAGTCAGGAAGACCTGAGTTCAAATCAAATCTAGGATACTCAGTAGCTGTGATCGTGGACAAGTCACTTAAACGCTGCCTGCCTCAGTTTCCTCAGTTATAAATGGGGATGATAATAATAGCACCTACCCAACAAGGTTGTGATAAGGATCAAATGAGATATTTGTAAAGCACTTAGCATAGAATCTGACATGTGGTAGGTGCTATATAATTGCTGGCAATTATTATTACTAGCATCTTCCAAGTCTTTGAACAATTCTCTCCCCACATCTCTGTGCTCCTGCCCCCATACCTAGAAATGCACGGTCTCTTCCTTCTCAACAGATTCTTAGAATTCCTAGTTTCCTCCAAAGCTTAGCTCAAGCCACTTTCCAGGGGAAGCCTTTTCCTGATCTCCTTCCCCTTTGTATATATTTTGCATTTACTTGTTCTTATGCACTGGTATCTCTCCCGAGGTCCCCTTCCTGCTAAGAAGGAAGTTTATTGAGGGTCGGAGCTGTTTGTTTATTTTTTGCCTCTGGTTTCCCAGTGTCTAACGAGGTGGCCAGACATACATTGGGCACTTAATAAGCGTTTGTTAAATTAGATGCCCATCAATTGGGGAACGGCTAAACAAATCGTGGCATATTGCTGTAATCCAACATTACTGGGCTGTAAGAATGACAAACGTGAGGAACGGAGAGAAGCATGGAAAGATCTACAAAACTGATGCAGAATGAAGGAAGCCCAGACAAGGAAAATACACTTAACGATTACAACAACTGTAGAGGGAAAGAACCAACCTCACAAAACAAAACCGAAGTGAATGCTGCAAAATCATCAGGACCAATGGAAAGAAAGGAAATGAGAAGGCCCTCCCACTCTTCATCCTTCCCTCTGCAGAATAGGGTAACCCACGTGTACTTTTGGGCGATGTAATGATTAGCGATGCCCGTTCTTTTCTTATTTTTTTTTCCTAATCTTTAAAAATATGGGAAAACACTGGGAGGAGGAGAGGGAAAGACACCGCAGGGAACTGTGGTGATGTGAAAAAAACAAAAGGCAGCAGTAAGAACTTATTCTAAAACAAATGCGTGCATCTTCAACTGAGGTGAAGCAGAGACCAAGGTCACAGGAGACGCGGCGAGGGGGTCATCCCCGGGGCCCCGCCGACCCCTTCCTCCAGCCCCAGGGCCTGTTCTCTCTCTCCCCTCCCCCTCTGCAAGCCCGGAGGACGGCGGGGCCTCGTGCCAGAGCTCACCGGAGCAGCTCCACGCAGTACAGGTCACTGCCGGGGGCTTCGGTCCGGCTGGACGCGGTCGCGCTTCGTCCCAAAACCACGGGAGCCGGAAGCCCACTCCCGCGGGCACTCGGGCCCCGGGGCGTGCGGCCACGAAGGCAGCCACTGGAGCCGAGGCGGAGCGGACCCCAGCCCAGCGCCAGAGCATGGGCCGCCATGACACCTGGGTACCTCTGACCCTTTACCTTTCTCACCGGCCCAGTGCGCCTGCGCAGCCCCGCCCTAGAGCCGCCTTCTCCTTTTCTCTCCTCCCCTGTCCCCGCCCCTTTCCTTTTTTTCTGCTTTCCGCCAGTCTTCCTTCCTTTTCTGCCCTGCCTCTCGTCCCCTCACACATTTGTCTTTCTTCTGAATCTCCTCTGCTTATCCCTTTCTTTTCCTCCCACCTTTCTTCCTCACCTCATCCCCCCTTTCGTCCTTCCCTTCTGTGAATCCTATGTCTCCTCCCTCTAATCCCACCAGTCCACCTCCATCCCTTCCCTCCCTTGTTCCTCTGCTTCTCACCTTCCTTTATTTTTCTCCCTTTGATGCCCCTCTGTCCCTCACTACTTGTTGACCTCATTTCTTCTTTCTCACAAGTCAAGCCAACGGGCATTGATTAATCAATTACTATATGCCAGCCCTACTATGTGCCAGATACTGTGCTAAGAGCTGGGGATAAGAACAAAAGTCAAAAACAAGCCAAACAGAAGAAACAATCAGTAAACATTTATTAAATGCCTATTGTGAGTCGGGCACTGTGCTGAGAACTAGGGATAAAAAGAAAATCCAAGAAGTAAAAAGCCAAATGAAAGAAACAATGGTTCAATCAATAAACATTTATTAAACACTTAACTATTTGCCAGGTACTGTGCTAAGCATTAGGGGATACAAAAAGAGGCAAAAGACAGTGCCTGCAACTATAAACAATCTCACATATGCAGCTGATACCACTCTGATGACAGAAAGTGAAGAATTAAGAAGCCTCTTGAGAGTGAAAGAGAAGTGAGGCAGCTTGATGGCTAAGTGGATAGAACTCCAGCCTTAGAGTCAGGAAGACCTTAGTTTAAATCCAGTCTCAGACACATAATACTCTGGGCAAGTCCTTTGATCCCATTGCCAAAAAAAGAGAGTGAAAGAGAAGAGTGTAAAAAAACACCTGGCTTGAAGCTTAATATCAAAAAACAAACAAGCTAGGATCTTGTGAACTCGGTCCCATCACTTCTTGACAAATAGAAGGACAAGAAATAGAAGCAGCGTCAGATTTTATATTCTTGGGCTCAAAAATCACTGAAGACAGCAACTGCAGCTATGAGATTAAAAGACACTTGCTCCTTGGAAGTAAAACTATGGTAAATCTGAACGGTATATCAAGAAGCAGAGACATTACCTTACAAACAAAGGTCCTTATAGTCAAAGCTGTGGTTTTGCCAGTAGCAATGAATGGCTGTGAAAGTTGGACTATAAAGAAAGCTGAACTCTACCAAATAGATGCTTTCTAGTTGTGGTACAGAGAACATTTTTCAGAGTCCCTTGGACGGCAAGAAGGTCAGATCAGTTAATACCTACAGAAATTAATTCAGGTTATTCACTGGAAGCAAATACCAAAGCTGAAACTTGAATAATTTGGCTACATAATGAGAAGACAGAACTCGTTGGAAAAGACCCTGATGTTGGGAAAGATTGAAGGCAAAAGGAAAAGGGAATGAGATGGATTCGATAGTATCATGGAAACAATGAACATGAATTTGGACAGACTTTGAGAAATAGTGGAGGATAGAAGGACCTAGTGTACTATGGTCTAGGGAATCATAAAGAGTTGGACAGGATTGAAGGACTGAACAACAAGAAGCTTACAGTCTAATGGGGGAGATATCATGCAAACAAATATATACAAAATAAGATATATACAGGATAAATAGGAAATAATTAAAAGAAGTAAAGCTCTAGAATTAAGAGGATATATGCGGGAGAATTAATATGCTCTTAGGTTGTTTATAGTCTAATGAGGAAAAAACATGCTAACAACTATATACAAACGAGATATATAGAGGATCAATTGGAGGTGATCTCAGAGGGAAAGCACGAAGGTTAAGGAGGACTGGGAAGGACAGAAAGTAGAACTTTAGCTGAGGCTTGAAGGAAGCCAAGGAAACTGTCTCCTCCTCCTTCCTTTTTCTCCTATCCATTTTTTTACTTTCCTGCCTCTTCTCTATGTTGTTCTTTCAGAACCTGAACAATATATTTGTGTGCCCTAGGCAAGACTAGAAAGTCACAACTCCTGTACATTGTTTTCTCCCACAGACTCTAAGCTTTAAATGTAGCATATACAATTTGACAACACAAATTCTAGTCTCATAGAAGCAGAATTTTCTGGCATCGAAAATATGTCCATTTGTAAAAGGTAGTGACACCCATATAACCCTAGTGGCTTCTTCCCTGGAGTTCATGGGTCCAATAATTCAATTACTGACTGATAAAAGCTGACCTAAAGGCTGTATATCACTGTTATTATCCACCCATACTTCTTAAAAGATTGCAATATCTCCACTAGACAGCAGAAGATGCTCAGCTAGACTGTTCCCCCACCCTACATTGGTGGCTGCAAGCTATGGCACCAGTCAGTGTTAAGCACTTAATGCTAAGAATTGTGTGACGTTTTGGAGATACAAAGGCAAAAGTGAAACAGTTCTTGCCTTCACGGAGTTTTCATTCTAATGAATGATATGGAATGTTACTGAAAATATTAAAATATGAAATATACAGTTTGCATATAACTCATAAGCCCCAACTCTACATTTCCAAACTCTTCTCTCTAGTCACAACTTGCTCCACATCCACAGGACTCAGATGTTCAACATAGTTTACTGAATGTAATGAAAATGAAAGGAAATAGGTCCCACTCATCTGCATGCAGTCTTTGCCTAAATTCTCATATCTCCCTCTATTTGCCCAGGGACTGTCTCACCTTGCATCAGCCTTCTATCATCATAGCCCCATTTCCCATTGATTAGTTCCAATAGGAGCCTCCATTTTGGCCCCAGTGCAGCCATGCTTCATTCCCCTCTCAGCTGTGCTTCTGATTCTAATGACTTTGTTACTATGCCCCCACCCAAGTATCCTTTTATCTTCTCTCCCCTTTCCCTTCTGCCCACTTTAATAAGTTGTCTTCCCTTGTTAGAATGTGTACTCCTAGAGGGGAGGGATGGAATTTCTTTTTGTTTCTATTTGTATCACTAGTGCCTTGCAGGTAGTAAGTACTTAAAAAGTTTATTACCAACTCACCTGGAAGTGAGGAAAAGGAACGTCCAAACCCCTCTTGTGGAAAGGAATAACAGAAAGAGTTATGTATGTCTCTCATCCCATCTTAGAGTCACAGACTACAGCCGGGGAAAGCAGTGGAGGAGAAGTTAAAAAAAAAAAATCAGTCTTTCCCTGCAGCTCACCAGCCCAACCAGATTTGTAATAGCTGGCAGTCTGGGCACTCAGGGTGGTTCATTGTCTCAGCTTCTTACTCTGACTTTTCAGGATCAGAATGTCTTCCTCAATGATCATCTCCAGCAGCCCACTCAATGGCTGAGAGCCGTTGGTCATAGCAACAGCCACCTTCTAGGCAATCAGGAAGTCCTACTGTCAAGGCCAGTGAAGGAGAATGAAGCAGCTAACCCTATGCAGACGGTGTCACTTTCTGTCCCCAAACACTTTCGGGGCATTGTAGCTTCCTTCCCTGTCTTCTTTCTACTGTGAAGATAATTTTGATACTTCTACTCAATTTAATTAGTATTTAGTCAATTCATTGTGATTTAATGGGTATCAGTGATTGGGTTAGGTAGAATAGAATTAAGTTTGATTTAGTTAACACTCTTAGCATAAGAGTCATGTAGGTTAGAATTAATTAACCCACTATGTATTGATGATGGTTATGCCATTTATATTTAGGTTAGGGGCTAGATTTATACTCTGTTAGCTAGACCCTTATTAATAGAGATAAGGATTTGCTGTACTATGTTTCCCTCAGCTCCTTTGAGAGCAATGCTGAAAAAAACCACAGCTTCCTTATACCTCTCTGTTCTTTTACACCTAATGTTCATAACAGCTTGTGGGAAGGTCCTGCCAATCATCCTTCCACAGGACATTGGTCACTGATGTTTGTCCTGTGGAAAGCCCCTCTTAAGATGGACTGTTGAGGCCCAAGAATGCTGCTGACAAAGTAATGATTGATGGACATCTCCCTGAACCAAAATAGGAATTTCTTCCTTTGGCCAAACATGGGATGAATTTCCTCCACTTCTCCCCTTAGCCAGTCATATGAGTCTGCCACTTCTGGAACTGACCAGTCATGAATTGTACCACTTCATTCTATTTTTAATGGCTGCTCAATGTCTATAAAAAGGAATGGAGTCCAAGTAGAGGGATCTTTGACCAAGAAAAAGGTTTTATATCCAATTGCTTAAGAGCTACGAGTCTCCTTAATAAATGGATACCTGCTAAGAGCTCTGCCTCAGTTACCTTTTGCTGCAGATTGGATTTTGGGGGTCCACATTGTCTTAGAGAGAGGATCAAGGAAGTCTCACTTTCCAGTACCTCACAAATTCTGTTAAGCCTGTTTTCCTCTGTGGTAACTTCTGGGACCCTCAGATCCTCATGGAGATAAAGTGGCGAAATATAAATACAGTTGTTGCTGTTCAGCCAGTTTCAGTCATTTCTGACTCTTCATAATCCCATTTGGGTTTTTCTTGACAAATGTACTAGAATAGTTTAACATTTCCTTCTCCAACTCATTTTATAGATGGGGAACTGAGGATAACAGAATTGAATGATTTGTCCAGGGTCCCACAGCTAGTAAGTGTCTGAGGCCAGATTTGCACCCAGAAAGATGAGTCTTTCTGATTTCAGGTCCAGTACTCTACTGAGCCTGCACTACCTAACTGCATTGAAATACCTCATACCCACATCAAAAATGATCTGGCCTTTTCATTCAAGGCCCTTCTAAGGAATCTGATAAACTAATTTATTCTAACATGTTACTGGCCTAATTGTGCCTTTTCATTCAGAAACGAATTTCATCTATTACAGAATTACAGAATTTTAGAATTGGAAGGGCTGTTTAATCCATGCCATACCCAGAAAGAAATCCCTTGCTATACCATACCTGATAAATAGTTACCAGATGCAACCTTAGCTTGAAAAAAATCCAGTGAAGACCTCCCTGAGTACCTTATTC